CACAAGTCTCTGGCTGTTCAAAGTGTGTGTCCATGTACTGTCTCATTGTTCCACCCATGGCCAAATGCTTCACTCTTACTCACAGAAATTATGTAAGCAACAGCATGTAGCCACCATCTTGGAGGTATGATCCTCCAAAAGGTCATACAGACACCATCTCCCTTTCAGTCTGTCAAAGGAACATTCAACAAGCATGTGGCAGTGGCTTAGCCTGTTGTTGAACATCTCCTTTCTGGTGTCCCGTTGCCCCATCTAGGGGGGCTTCATGAGACAGGGCTATAAGCGGTAAACTGCATCACCTGTCACCTAGGCTCACTGGCCATTTCCACATCCCCCACTGTAATTTTCTGGTCTGGAATGAAAATCCCAGTATGCAGTTTTCTATACAGGCCCCTGTTCCTGAAGATGTGTGTATCATGCACCTTTCCAGACCACCCCATATTTGTCTGTGAAACTCCCATGGTGATCCACAAGTGCTTGAAGCACTATGGAGAAGTACCCCTTACTATTGTAATGTGAGGCAAGGTGCGGAGGCACTATAATGGGAATGTGTGCCATCAATTGCTCTACAGCATTGTTGCAAGGTATGACAGGGTCAGGCCAGAGGGGTACAGAAGAGTGGTAGAAGGGAAGTATATTAGCCCTAGATCAAGTAAGTCTCTGTTCCTAAGGTAAACTAACAAGGGCTAATCCAGAACCAGCAGGAACTAAAACCAATCAGGGCAATTAAGTCATCTGAAGCTAATTAGGAGGTTTCCAGAATCAAGTGAGTTACTGTTTCTCTCAACCTCTTTTTATAAAGTACCCCTTTTAAAAAAAAAATTGTAAGTACCCCCAGTACCTACAGTTCTCAGACACACACAATTTTCTTCTACCATTGCAACACATTTGTTTAAATAACTTAATCGTAGCCAGGCGGGTGATGTACTTATTGTAAAAAGTACAAAAATAAAGTGCTGTAAAACTTAAAACAAAAAATCAGTTTTCTCCAAATTTCAGTTGTGTGGACATATCCCCCCAGACTTCTCTCACGTACCCCTAAGGGTATTCGTACCACTGGTTGGCTATGTCTAGACTACATCCCTTTTTCGTAAAAGGGATGTGAATTAGATGTATCGCAATTGCTAATGAAGCGGGGATTTAAATCTCCCCTGCTTCATTAGCATAAAAATGGCTGCTGCTTTTTTCCGTATGGAGCTTTGTCGGAAAAAAGCGCCAGTCTAGACGCTGATCTTGCGGAAAATAAAGCCTTTTCTGAAAGATCCCTTATCCCCTTATCTATGAGATTTAAATCCCCGCTGCATTAGCAATTGCGATACGTCCAATTTACATCCCTTGGGTACTGGGCTCCCCTCCCCCCCCGCCCTTGTGAGTGCAAAGTGCAACACTCACCAGTGGATCCTTCCCTGGCCTCCGAGGATGCATGGGAGTCATCGGGGCTGCCGGAGGGGGCCTGCAGGGTGGCAGTGCTGGCCTTGTCCTCCGACCCACTGCTGCTGTCTCCTTCCCCTGCCTCGGTGGTCCTGGTGACAAGGGGGCGCACGCACGTGTCCACAGGGACGGCCGGTCCCTGCGGTGCTGGCTGGCCCAGGATGGTGTGGAGCCGTCGGAAGTGGGGGTAGGGGTCAGCTCCTGCCCCCTGGCCCTTGCTGGCCCACACATAGCCCAGGCGCAGCTCTTTCACTTTAGCCTGGACTTGCTCCAGGGTCCGGGCTGGATGTCCCTGCTGGGAGAGCGCCTGGGCCATGGGGTGAAATATTTCCTCGTTCCGGCGACGGGAGTGGTTGTCGTGCAGGGCCTCCTCCTCCTGCCAGAGGTCCAGCAGTGCCTCCAGCTCCCCCGAGGACCAGGACGGAGCCCTTCTTTTTCGGCCCCTTGGGGCCTCCTGTGCTGGGGGTGCGGGTGCTTGATCCCCCCCTGGAGCTGCCATCGTGGTCTGGGTGGTGTTGGGGACAGCAGGGGCTGTGTGGCAGAGCTGTGGCCAGAGGTCCCAGAAGGGCTTCTGCCTCATGGACTCAGCAGTCTGGTCTGCCTTTAAGGGGTCTCGGGTTACCAGGAAGTCCAGGAGCTGGCTTGCAGCTACGGAGCATCCGAACGGCCACTAAGGCTTTTTTCCGTTTAGCCTGCTTTTGCGCAAAACGTCTTAGCTGCTTGTCTACATTGGCCTTCTTGTGCAAAATCATTTCCGCAAGAGGGCTTTTTCCTGAACGGGAGCGTCAAAGTATTTGCACAAGAAGCACTGATTTCGGACAGTAGAATGTCAGTGCTCTTGCGCAAAATCAAGCAGCCAGGGTAGACCGCTGGCAAGTTTTTGCGCAAAATCTTGCCAGTCTAGACACACCCTTAAGGTATGACTTTGTAAGGAAGGACACTATAATGCATGTACAGCTTGGCCATATTCAGCGGTGGCTTTTCTATACAGACACGTATCCCAGGCGGAGGGAGGGTACATAGAGTCATTTAATCATGGAATGAAATGGAAGCCTGTGTCACTGCTGACTAGGCACCGTGATCCATTTTCAGCTTTACTAGTGACCTCCTAATTGAGGGCACTAAGGAAATGGCCTTGAACGTGATTGGAATAGACAGTTGTGGGCAGGCATTTTCCCCCGTTCCCTTATCTTGTTGCTTTCCAAATGCCTGAAGCAAGCTGCATGACCCAGGGCCCTGCTCAATGCTTGGATGCCCGATGCTCAGCCACAGTGAAGCTCTGGTTTTCTGCTGCAAGCAACAAATGTCTGATGTAATCCATGCAGTGTTGTTAGAAGTAAATGTAAACAGAGACTGTAGTGAACCTCTGTAGTACATATAAAGGGGTAAATCTCTTTGGTGGGAGGGTAAGGAAAGAATTCTTTCTTGCTGCTGGGTTCTCATCAGCTTCTTTGAGCCTGGAGAAAGATTTTAATTAAACTGGACAGAGCCTTAAGCTTCCTAATAGCCTACCCTAGTCAGGAGCAGCACCAAGGCCTAAAGTGCCCTTCTGAAAGGGATTGTTCCGCATGCTAGTTCCTGTAGCATGTGGAGTTGTTCGTACCGCATGGCTACGTCTAGACTAGCATAATTTTCCGGAAATGCTTTTAACGGAAAAGTTTTCCATTAAAAGCATTTTTGGAAAAGAGCATCTAGATTGGCACGGATGCTTTTCCGCTAAAGCACTTTTTGCGGAAAAGCGTCCATGGCCAATCTAGACGCACTTTTGCGCAAAACAAATCTCAGCTGTCTACACTGGCCCTTTTGTGCAAAAGTTTTGCGCAGAAGGGACTTTTGCCCGAATGGGAGCAGCATAGTATTTCTTACTGTAGGAAGTCAGTGCGTTTGCGGAAATTCAAGCGGCCAGTGTAGACAGCTGGCAAGTTTTTCCAGAAAAGCGGCTGATTTTCCAGAAAAACTGGCCAGTCTAGACACAGCCCATGAGTTTAGGGTAGAGTTCTTTTCTATTTCGAGCAAGAACACATGGTCACAACCTGCTGAGAATGAAGAAAGTGCTTGGGTTTTCTCATTCTGTAGGTATTTTCCATAAGAAAATGGGCACAGCGTTTGCCATAATTTTTCTATTTTACTTTTCGAAATGCTGTCTATGTAGGAAAGTCTACAGAGCACATAATTGGAGTAGCACAGAGAAATTAAATACACCTTCAGTCCCAAGTGCAAGAACACAAGATCTACTGGTCAACCTAGTCCCTTCTCATGGGGGTAAGGGCATGCCACTAAAGGTATGTCTACACTACCACCCTAGTTCGAACTAGGGTGGTAGTGTAGACATACCTTTAGTGGCATGCCCTTACCCCCATGAGAAGGGACTAGGTTGACCAGTAGATCTTGTGTTCTTGCACTTGGGACTGAAGGTGTATTTAATTTCTCTGTGCTACTCCAATTATGTGCTCTGTAGACTTTCCTACATAGACAGCATTTCGAAAAGTAAAATAGAAAAATTATGGCAAACGCTGTGCCCATTTTCTTATGGAAAATACCTACAGAATGAGAAAACCCAAGCACTTTCTTCATTCTCAGCAGGTTGTGACCATGTGTTCTTGCTCGAAATAGAAAAGAACTCTACCCTAAACTCATGGGCTGTGTCTAGACTGGCCAGTTTTTCTGGAAAATCAGCCGCTTTTCTGGAAAAACTTGCCAGCTGTCTACACTGGCCGCTTGAATTTCCGCAAACGCACTGACTTCCTACAGTAAGAAATACTATGCTGCTCCCATTTCAGAGTTACTTTAATACATCAGGATCAACACACAAAGTAGGTCTTTTGCCATTCTCTGATGACCAGCAAGATCAACCATAAAACAGTTATTATAGGTGTTATGCTGCACCATAACAAATATCTGGCAGGCTATAGAGTCGTTCATATTTGTACTTGCAAGATAGATCATGGGGAAAGAGGGCTGTGATGTTGTCAGGTCCCAGATCATGTAGGACTCTATAGATTAAAACAGCATGTTCAACACAGCTCAAAACAGATGGGACATTGCATTCAACCCCATCTGGTGATGAGCTTGCAGTAGAGCAAGCTCCACAAATGTGTTTGATGCGCAAGCCCAGAGCAACACACGCATTCTCAAATTTCCCGAGACTCACACTGCCTGGGACCATGGGCCAGATTCAATCATTGTGTAACTCAGCTAACTTCAGTGGAGTCAAACGCATCAATAATGTAACCCTATGTTTCTAGGATTATGAAGATTGACATTCCTGTAGGAAAGGCCCTGTTACCTTTTGGGATGGTGCAATTTACTTTCCAGACAGGAAGAAGAACCTATTTTTGTAGCTTCATAGGAAGGGGACCTAGAGTTGGCTCCTGTCTGAATATATTCAGCGGGCTGAATAAATCTCTGGCCTTAGCTCTCTTAGCCTGAAAGTGAAATCCACTTCCTGTTGGTGTGGCATATACTCTAGTCTATAAAGGGGAGACAACAGTCTCCGCAGAGGGGCAAAGTATGTGTGTGGGGGTGCGGCTCCATGGCCTCAGTGGAAGGGGCGGGGCGCTGCCAGCCCTCAGTGCCCCCAGACTGTGGCATGCCCTCCCACACAGAGCTCACAGCTGCCTGGAGTGCACAGCATGATGTCCCCACCTTCCCAGGCAGACCTAAGAGTGCTGGAGTGCTCTGTGAAGTGTTCTGGCGTTGATTTAAAGGGCCCAGGGCTCTGGCTGCCACAGTAGCAGCTGGGAGCCGTGGGCCCCTTTGAATCCCCAGGCCCCAGGGCAATTACTCCCTTTGTGACCCCCGCCTCCTCTGTCAGTGAGCCTGCAGCTCTCCACCCCGTATCCATTCATTTCATTCATCCCATTTGTTCCCATTCTAATATCCAGGATTTTGCTGACGCTTCTTTATGCCTGTGTGTCTCTCTCTCTTCATTATCGAACATGCAGGTACCGGTCGTTCCCAGAGGCTGTTCTCCCGCTGCTGCAGGAAGTGGCCTGTGTAAGAGGAGTGCCAAGCAGGATGATGGGCTTGTCTCATCTCGTAAGTGTTCTGCTTACACCTGGTGGGTGATGTGTCACTGGAGCAGCAGTGAGCAGGCCGATGCACGTATACGGCCGGCGCCGAGTGAAAGGCACTGAATTTCAATCAGCTAGCACAGCTTGGGGTCTGCAGCCTCTTTGGTTTTCCTACAGTCAGCTCTCCCCCAAAACCAGGCACTGAAAGAGGCTGGCTCTGCTTGTCAGCTTGAGATGAATGTCAGCCATAGGGGTGGAGGGAGAACCAGCCAGGGTCCAGGAACAAATGAATCCTTTGATGGATGCAGAAATGGAAAAGGTGAGACGTGCTATGTGGGAGGATCCCCTGGAATGGCTCTTACAGAGAGCAGGGAGCTCCTGGGATGTGAGGCTGTGCAGCTTTTACACCGCAGCTCAGGACCGACGTTTTCTCCTCTTCTTCACTGAGAAAAGGAACACGTGAGGGTGTTAAAAGACTGAAGAGCATCTCAAATAAAGCCCGTCAGGAGGAATCGCGTGTTTCTGAGTTACCTCTGGGTCAGGCGCTCTGAGGCTCTGTCAGGGAGAGACACTCACCCTGTGATATGAAGCATTTTAAGAGAAGTTGCTTGTTCCCAGTCTTCTGCCTTTTGTTAGGTGTTTCCCACTCACCTCTACTGAATGCTCTGCTGAGGCTAGAGGCAGGGGCATCCTGATGTTTAAACAAATGGGACCCCCTTTTTCCCCGGTAAAAATTAAGGTGCTAATTTCACCTGTCCATTTTTAGCAGCCTTCCTTGCACTAAGAAGGGTCAGAACCATTATGACCCTTCTCAGGTTGGTTCCCGTCACTGTTCCACTATTTACCATTCCATATACAGTAGACTTCCGATAATCCGGAACCTATGGGACCTAGGCGGTGCCAGATTATCAGATATGCCGGACTATCAGGAGGCACTATAAGATGGTTATATATATAGGCTGTGTCTACATTGGCACCCTTTTCCGGAAAAGGGATGCTAATGAGACATTTCGGAATTGCAAATGCCACGGGGGACTTAAATATCCCCGTGGCATTTACATGAACATGGCTGCTGCTTTTTTCCGGCTTACATAAGAACATAAGAAAGGCCGTACTAGGTCAGACCAAAGGTCCTTCTAGCCCAGTATCCTGTCTACCGACAGTGGCCAGCACCAGGTGCACCAGAGAGGGTGGACTGAAGACAATGATCAAGCAATTTGTCTCCTGCCATCTCTCTCCAGCCTGTGACAAACAGAGGCCAGGGACACCATTTTATCCCCTGGCTAATAGCCTTTTATGGACCTAACCTCCATGAATTTATCTAGCTTCTCTTTAAACTCTATT